GGGGTGGGGTGATCGGGGCAGTGGGGTTGGGGTGGGCGGCACTGAGCCTTGTGGCGTCGGTTCTGTTGCAGGGTGCGGGCAAACTGCAGTGGTCTGGCGGACGGGTGCTTGCTGCTCTGTGGCCTGGAGCGAGCCGCTCGCCTGGTGCCCTGCCTTGCAGACACCGGGCTGCAGGTCAAGGCTGGCATTCCCAGCGGCGCCTGCGGGCGCGGGAGTGTTCGGGCTCCGCTGTTCGCGGCTCACCGGGCCGCGGCAGACACGACTGCCCAGACTGTGCCCGGGACGGCGCGGTTGCCTCGCAGCCCATCCTGCAGCAGACGGATCGCGGATTTGTGTTGAGCACAAGAATTTGCCTGCTGCTTGCGCCATACCATCACAAACTTCGATGCTTAGCGCACGCATGTGCTGCGTCGTCTGCAACAGTCACGCGCTGCGGTGCGTGCGCACGCACCTGCAGTACACCCAGGAAGAGCGCCGCGATCTCCTGCTGGCAATTTTGGTCATAATTTTGGACATTGAGAGCTGCGCGCAGCTTCTCAAGGTGCGTCCCGCTCATGCTCAGATCATGCAGGTGACAGAGTTACTGCCTGGATATAATACATATCAAGACTCGTAGCTTGATCAATCCTTGCTCAGGCGGCAGCTAGGCATTTTTGGCCAGCGCCATCACGCCCCGACTGCGCTCCTTTGGACCGAGTCGTCCTGTGGATGGCTGTTGGGCTGTTGGCGCATCGCAGCAGTTCCCCAGGCATTCTTAAAATGACAACGGATTAAAAGTTCCAGAATGTATGAATCATGATGCTTTCTTGGCGCTGAACATGCGGGCCAAAGCAGGCGTCTGCGCGTGTTTGGTAATCGGTTTGCGCTCCTCGCCCGACAGGGGGGGGGGGGCAGGGGGCCAGTGCGCTCGTCAACTGCTATACCTGCGTGGAGGCACACGCTTGAGGGCTCGTCTACTTTCATCACCAAGTCAAAGGGAAGGATGGCGGCCAGTCATATCTTGTGTGCGTGTAGGCGAGCTGGGCGCTTGATTCGCCAGGCTGCGCATGCATGCGTGCGTGCCCCAGAATCTTAGCCAGCGCGTTCAGTGAGCACAAAATGGAGGCCGCCCTTGCACAGATCCCTTGGGAAACTGGAAAGACGCCCGCAAGACTCGTGTCCTCACTGCACCTGCGCCAATCAGAGCATCGTCTTGAGTAATCCACCCAACAAGGTCAACGGAGGTGCAGTCCCACCGTAATCAAGGCCGGCTGATGCCGCACGAGTTGCGGCGCAGCTGACGCAATCCCCTGTTGTCCATCCATTACGCCGCTGCCATGCACTGGCCGCCACGTGGTCGTCCGCGATCGCATGCCAGGCCAGAGCTGCCCTACCACTTGTGGAGCAGGCCATTACACAAGCATTGACAATTGAAGGGATTGAGAGCTGTTACAACGTAACATGTGCGTGCTTGTCAGCGTCATTATGTACCCGTTACCACGTATCACACAGGTATCCAAACCACATACACCTGCAAACCAGCGCAGGACAGAACGGCATCATAAGCTGCGCTGCGCTGTGCACTGCGGGCCGCCCCTGTGTGCACCAATGGCGGAGCGGCGCAAAATGCTGCGAGGCAGCAGGGTCTTTTGTGGTGTTGAGCTGCTGCAGGCCAGACAACACAGTTTGATAGGGAGCAAAAGGTGGCGGGCACGTCGCGGATCCCTGGGCGTCATATGGGCGGAGCAAGGCCCAGTTGGCCACAATCAGCACCCATGCAGGGGCAGCATGCCGCCATGTTCTGACCGATGACAGGCGCTATGGGTTCTCCAGCAGCAGCCAAAACGCGCCCGCTCAGCACACAAAGCCGGAAGCGTCACGACGCCCGTCCGGCAGCCACACGGCCGGCGCCGGCGCCGATGCCGCGTGTCTTGGGCGCCCGCTCCTTGCCGTTAAAGCCGCCGCCGCTGCCAAGGCAGCCGCAGGCGTCGTCGCGAGCGCAGCACGGCCCCTTGCCCGCCTCCAAGGTCTGCGCGCCCCGCCGCCGCTACCGCTGCTGCTGCTTCTGCTGCTGCAGCAGCGTTGACACCGGCACCTTCTGCGGCACGATGTCTAGGAAGAAGCAAGGCGTGCGGGTGCATCCGCGTGTCCCGGGGTGGGCAGGCCGCAACCGGTGCGGCGAGCGAGGCAGCAGCATGCAGCTGGCGAGAAGCAACCAGCGACACAGATGAGCGACCGCCACCCGCGCGCCCCACGGCGATCACGCGCTGAAAGACAGGGCACCCTTTCAGCCAGGCCACTCACCTGCAAGCAAGTCCAGCGCCTCCCAACCCTCTACAGCGTTTGCTGCACGTGCGTGCAGGGTTGGCGCAGGCAGGCAGGCGGGCGGGCGATTGACGATGGGGCAGGTCACTAGGCGTTCATGCATCACGCCAGTCCAAGGGACAACACACCGCCATGACCGCCCGCCAGTTTCCCGGGGGTCCCAGAGCCAGCAGCTCCGCCCCCGGAAAGCACACGACCACCCGTCTGCAACTTCTGAACAGGCCGCCCCTTGCGTTCGTCAGAGCGGGGCCCCACCTATATCCTTGTATTGCAGCGACTTGCGGCCGTCGCGGCTCATGGACGCGTGCGCCTTTGCCACCATCTCTTCCAAAATCAGCTCCTGTGTTGATGTGTGTGTGTGTGTGTGTGTGAGCGTGTCAGGGGCGTGCTTGGCGTGTGCGGCCTCCAATTGTGTCCCACCTCGTTGCAGTGTGACGCCACGACCACCGCAGGCACAGCCAGCTGCGCGTAAGCATCCTATGAACGGCCTCCTTGCGGCCCGCAAACAGCGTGCGGCCGCTGCGAACGACCGTCCGGCACAGGAGCAACGCCACACCACGCGCAGCGGCGGGAGGGGGGGGGGTACAGATGCTTGATGGCGGCGCACCACCGCGCGGCCGACGAGGAGGGTCGCCTCGTTGCTGACTACTTTGACGTCGGCCTCGGCGCGGATGAGCTTTTTGACGCGCGACCACGGCAGCGTCTGCGGGGCAAGGCGGCGCCGGGCGTTGCGAGGACGACCCGCTACAGGGCAGAAGGTGCAGACGCTGTGCAATCATTGACAAAGCAGATGTCGGCGTAGCATTCTGATGTCCACACCGTAAATCAGCACCAAGCACTGGGTCCAGGAAATGGCCGACGCTCCACTTCAACATCGCGCGTTGCTGCACCCACCAGGCCGCCCTCCTTGCTGCCGTGTGCTGATGGCGAAGCTGCCTCCCCGTCCGCATGCTCATCATGATCCTCCACCTCCACATGCTCCTCCGCCATTGGGCGCAAACGCGGTCTCAACGACAGTGAGAAATTGATTATTTGAGTACGTCGCGTTCTCAAAGTGATATTTGCAGCACCGTTCTTGCATATGTCTTGACATTGAACAACTACACTTCAGGGATGACATCTCGGTGATCTGATGATCTGAGCGCGTAGATCCCAGCTGTTCAGTACATTCAAGCCCAAGCAATGGCGCCCCGGCTGATGCATATTTTGGGCGAACTGACAGCACAACCGCCTAACAACGTGGAGGCAGCGGCAGAGCTGCTGACTCTAGTGCAGGCCGCTGACGCTGGCGATGCTGCTGCTTGCACCATGCTGGGCACTGCTGGAGGCGTGCAGCAGGCCGCACGGGTGCTCGCGGCGGCGTCCGCCCGCGTGGATGCACCAATGCAGTGCTCTACGCACGCCGTGCTCGCGATGCTGCGCCACGCCGTGTGCCGACCACCAACCCGCAGCAGCACGGCCCTGCGGGCAGGCGCTCCCGCAAGGCACAAGCGCCCACCGCGGGCGCCAGCATCAACAGACCGCCTGGAGGATGTCGGCCAGAAGCTGCTCGCTGCCTTTGGCAGCCCCGACGTGCCCGACCCCATGCTCGGCCTCAAACGTCCCACGAGCGAAGAGGCGGTGTGGCGCTTCGGGGGCAAAACATTTGACGCCCACGCGCCCGCCGCGGTCGCGGCGGCCGGGATCATCTTCAAGACGCCGGGCGCGGCCGCCGCCGTGGCCGCAGTGGCCGCGGGCGCGGGCGTGCCGTCGGAAGTCCGCGTCGACGCGCTCCTGCTGCTGGCCGGCGTGGCCGCGGCAGCGCGGTTGCTGAATCTCAGCGATGGGATCGGCGCAGTGGGCGCGGCGCCGCCCGAGCTGCTGCTGGCGATCGAGCAGTGGGCGGACGAGCAGGGCCGCGGCAGTGGCAGCGGTGGCAGCGGTGGCGGCAGTGGCTGCCGCGGCGCTGTGCATGCTGCGGCGGAGGGCGCCGGCGGCACGTCCTGCTGCAGCGGAGGCGCGCCCTGGGAGCTCTCAGACGCGGCCTGCCTCGTCATCGACGCGGCGGCGGCGGCGCCGGCCGGCGCGGCAGCCGTCCTCGCCCGGCCCCGGTTGGTGCGCTGGCTGCTACCCCTCGCGCAGCGCCCCGAGGCGTGCCCATCCATCCCGGCGCTCAGGTGAAGGCACGTGGTCAGGGGCAGCAGTTCTGCATATGCAGCACCCCCGGCTTGAGCAGCGGAAGCGCTTGCCCCACTCTTCTGACCCTGCGGGCCTGCCCAAACACGTGTGAGGCGCCGCCAGACCGGCGCCTGACTCTGTCGCTCGCTCGCCGCCCACGCCGCAGGGCGCTCGCAAATATCATTATGACAGCCGCGCTGCCGCGCGGCGCCGGCGCGGCCGCTGCCTGCGCGCCGCTGCTGCCGGACACCTTCGCCGCGGCCACGCACGCGCTCGCGCGCGCGTGCGGCCTCGAAAGCCGCGGCCGGAGCGGCGCCACCGGGGCCACCGCCGACGCGACAGTGTTCCTGGCGCTGCGGCTGCTGTCGATGTGCGTCGGTGCCAACGGGGGGCTCAACCTCCCCCGGGAGCGCTTGCTCGCAGAGCCCGGCCTCGCGGCCAAAAACATGGCCGCGCTCGTGGCCGCGCTGGCGCCGCCGCGGCGCGGCTGCGTCCAAGGGGACACTCTGGTCGTGAGCGTCGTCCTGGGCACCTTTGCGGAGCTATCGAAGCGCGGCGGCGCAGACGCAGATCTGCTGATCGCTGCAGGTGCAGCGGCCGCCACGCGGCGGGCGCTCGATGCGCTGCGCGCGGGCCTGCCGCGCTCTGGGCAGGCGTGCCTGTCGAATTTCGTCGCGCAGGAGGCCGAGATTCTCTGCTTTCTGGCAGCCCCGGCCGGCGACGCCGGCGTTGGCAGCAGCAGCATCAACAGCAGCGCAAGCGGCGGCGGCGGCAGCGGAGGAGGATGCAACGGCGGCAGCTGCGGCGGCGGCGGCGTTGAGCCCGGGGCGCAGCGGCAGCAGGCGTCTCAGGCGCAGCTCGAGGCCCTCGAGCATCTGCTTTCGCTGGTGCTGGCGTGCCCGCGCGAGCGCTCGACGCTCGACCTGTGCACGGCGATGGGGGCGGCCAACCGAGTGCTCGTAGCCCGCCCCGCCCTGCGGCAGCCTGCGGCGGAGCGCGCTGGTTTTCTGGCCGCGCTCACCGACGCCGCGCTCTTTGATGCCGCGCCGGGCTGCCCAGCGTACGCGGCGTACTACAAAGCTCTTTGCCTGTCGCAGGGCGAGGAGGCGAGCGAGGACCCGAGCGCCCCCGCCACGTCAGCATGCGACGCGGTGGGCATCCTCGGGCTCCTGGCTGATGGCAGGCCCCACAGCCCCTCAGTTGTACAGAGTGTGAACTTCCGCGTGGTGGATGACATCGCGCACCAACGCGGCGGCGGCGCGGGCGGCGGCGGCGGCGAGCGGCTCGGCTATGGGAGGGGTGTGGCGCTCATGCTGGCGAAGATTGGCCGCGGCAGCGGCGCGGCGCACGGCGGCGCTGCTGCGACGCCTGCCGTAGTGCGGGAGGTCTCGGCGGCGGCGCAGGCTCTGGGGAGCCACGGGCAGCGCGCGCGGCAGGCCGGGTCCCCCGGCGGCGGCAGCGGCGCGCCGGCGGCGCCGGCGCCCGTGGCAGCGGCGCTGACAGCTGCAGCGGACGGAGCGGGCGGCCGGGTGGCCTGCGCCGCCTGCGGCAGGACACAGCAGCAGTCGGCCTCTGGGAAGCTTTCCAAGTGCTCGCAGTGCAAGCAGGTGCGCACGCATAGCCTTGAAAGTGGAGGAACTGGGTCGAATCCAGGGCTGACATCTCGGAGCGTCCCCACCTACCAGACCGCCTTGCGATGCGTGCAGCTGCGCTTGTGCGTGCTGTCCAACAAGGCGCCCAGCTGCGCACTGTGCCGCGAATTTATCAACTGCTCCCGGCGGCCTTTGCAGGTGTCCTATTGCTCCAAGCAGTGCCAGAAGGACCACTGGCGCGCGGGGCACAAGGCGGCGTGCTGCAGGGCATGACGCGCGCGCGTGCGCGCTTGCCGGCGGCGCGCATGGCCGCCCGCGTGCGCGCCACTACGCGACCGGACACCTGTCAATTCACCATCAGTTGCTGGGGTGCGGGCCCCACCCACCCCAATTCGGATTCGCTTGCTGCGGCCATGTCATGCAGCTGTTTGCCTGTGAATGAGATGCAGACAGGATCTGCTCAAACCTTGGATTTTCGCCGCAGTTTTGCCTGCGACCGCTAACAAACCCAACCTGTTGTTGACCACAGCCCAAGGGCTGGGCCGAGCATTTGGCACTCACATTCTGAGCTGCAGCCCTTGCAAAGGCATAATGCCGGCAGCCGGCTCCTGTTGAGTTGTGCGCCGCCTATTGGTGTTGTCGCGGGATCGGCAATCGCGGCGCGTTGTGTGCGCCGTGCGGGCCCCGTTGCCGCGTATCATCTTGTGCGCATGCACAGAATCTCACCATTCATACCCGGTCAACGCCAGCCGGCTCGGGGCTGCTCCCCTGGTAAAGTTGGTACTGGATCACCTCAGATGACACGACTCCCTGTGGTGCTTGAGGCCAGAGCGCAAGAGGGGACAGCCTCAGCTTTCAAGATAGGGGCCCAACCACTCACAACCCTGGTTCGTGCGCGGCGACGCTGGGCGCGGGGCGAAGCTGTGCCCCACCATGCCGCCCCAGAGAGCACAACACGATCAATAGCAGCTGATTTCACCAATGCACCTCTAAAAGGGTCTGCCATAGGCGGGTTGTCGCCGGCGACGCCGGCGGGTAACCAGGTGTCAGCATTGCAGGGCGAGCAAGCGCAAGCCCTGTGCAATTGGGCCTGCCCCGCACCAATCTCTTGTTACCCCGGGATCATATATGACACCCTCACTGGTCTGACGTGGTTTGATGCGGGCAGTCGCTAAGTGATCACGCCACGAGGCCACCCTTTCGCCGTGCACTTTGCAGGTTTGGCCCAAAGCAGCGGTGCAGAGCTGGATTTCATGGAGGACGATCCCGTGCAGGGGCTCTACGATGGGGAGGCACTGCTTGAGCGCTTCAAAGAGCTTTTAGGCGACCTCTACATAGATGCCAGCAGACTGGAGTTCATATCCGAGCTGGGGGTTGGAGAGCTGTCCCTTGTGGAAAGGGGACTGTACTACGCCCCCACCGGCGGCCGGGTGCGTTCACTCATCGCCGCGCCTGGCGCATATGCGCCCTCTGTAGCCCCTGCCTGCTCCTGCGGCCGGTCCAGGCTTAGGCATACTCCAGCGGCAAGCCCCTGTGGCGTGCCGGTGTACCATGAGGCACACCCGCTGCCAAATCTCCTTCTGCCCACCCGCCACGCCTGGGATTCCATGTGACCCAGGTCAAACCCCCACCTCGCCGCCCCCTCATTTCGGCCCGCCCCCTCGGCGGCGATCGTCACCGTTACATGCTGTCTTCAATGCAGCCCATGAATGTGGTGGTGAAGGGCTACTCGCCCCACGTGATCGCGACGCCGGAGGACATGCACGCGCTGCTGGAGGAGGCCCGAAACATCCAGCGGCTGCACCACAGGTGATGCGTGCCCCCGCCCTCCCCCCCTCTCACACACACACACATACACACACGTGCACGCGCAGATCACCCGCGCCGCGCCAACCACGGCCGCCAGCGAGGCACAATGGCCCCGCAGCGCCGCGGCACCCCCTGCTGCCGGGGCTGCGGCCGCCCGGGCCGCGCCACGGCGGCGGGCGGACAGTTTGGGACGGAGTGAGCAGCGCCTGCCTCGGGCGTCTCCCCTGACTGTCCGCCGCGCGCCCCGCGCTCCATGCCCCCAGGCACCTGGTGCGTTTGCACGGCCTGGGATGCTTCCACCACGCCAGCCCTGAGGACCTGCGGGGCAGCCTATTCATGGTTGAGGAGTTTGTGGGCACCATGTCCCTCAAGGCAATCCTGAAGTGAGGGCCGCGGCAAAATCGGAGGCTCCAGGCGCCATCCTGGAGCGTCGGGCGTTTCGTGAGGGGGCCAACGGGGTCGCCTTGTGCTAAGGAGTGCAATCCGATCTTGTGCAGCAGCCGCTGGGGAGCATGGATGCCCGCCAGCCGGCTTGGTTGTGCTGGGGCCAGACGCTGTGCACACCGCGCACTGGTCGCCTTGCCCCGCTCCCGCCCCCAAACAGGCTGCAGCGGCGCACCAAGTGGCGGTGGCTGTACACAATGCAGACAGCCCTGCGCTGGGCCGCGGCGCTGGCGAGTGCGCTCGCGGCGCTGCATGCGGCCAACCCGCCTTACATCCACGGCGACGTGAAGGTGCGGGCCAATATGCAGGGGGCGCAGCAGGGGCACGGCAGCACCCTTGACGCTGCAGGGACCGGTGGGGCGCGGCAGCACCCATTTTGTGGCAGGGACCGGCGGGGGCGCAGCAGCACCCTTGTTGCGGCAGGGAGCTGCGCAGACGCCGCGCGAGGGGCCGGACGGGCGCGTTGCCGCGGCGGCTGGCTCATCTGGACGTGGCCCCTTGCTGCCGGCGCCATGCTTGCCCCCTCTGGCAGCCATGGGTGCGTCGATGCGGCCGCCTCGATTTACAGCTCCGCATGCCGTCTCACCGTGCATCAACCCCCCCCCCCTTCCCCCCCAATCTCTGCTCTCTCAGGCCATCAATGTGTTTTTGACCGACACCATGAGCGTCGACAACGCCATCGCAAAGCTGGGGGACCTCAAGCCGCACAGGTTGGCGGGCTGCCGGCCGTCCTCCGGGTCCCCTCCAGCCCTGTAGCAGCGGCGGCGCAGCCGCTGCTCGCCAGCCCACTGCGCCCGCGGCGCCCCCACCAACGCGCGCCTCGTCGCGAGGGCGCCCCCCACCCGCGGCGGCGCCCGCCTTCGCCGGCCACGCCTAGAGCTGACCACGCGCGCGGGCGCGCCGTCTCGTCATCCGTGATATCCAGGCACGTGTACGACTTGTCGCCCAGCCTGCTGCACGAGCACCAGGAGGCGACAATTGAGCTTGAACAGCAGTCCCTGCGGCGCGCGGCCCTGAAGGAGCGCTCCAAGAAGGCAGCGGCGAAGTGGCAGGGCGGCAAGCCGCTGGGGCGCAAGAGCGTGGACGCGGCGCGGGCGGAGTGGGAGTCGCACGTGAGAGGCGGCTCTGTTTTTTTGGGAGTGTTTGGGGCTGGTGGGGCGGCTGAGGGGGCTGGGCAGGGATGGGGAGGCTTGAGAGGCGAGTTGGGAATGCAGCGACTGCGCGGCGCCGGCGCCACCTGACCAGCCGACGAGGCGGTGTCGGTTCGTCCGCGCTTGGGAGTGGCCTCGGGGCGCCCCTGCGCGGCAAGCTGTATCCCGCCGCCGCTGTTCCCCATGCCGACCCCCACAGACCGCGGGCAGCAGCGACTGCGACTCGGGGTCGTTCCGCAGCGGCAGCTTCGCCGATTTCCGACGCCCGAGCCTCGAAGGGGCCGGCGCCGCCACCGGCTCGTTGTCGCTCCCAGGGGGCAGCACCCCCCGCGCCTCCGCCGCCGCGGCGGCCGCGGCGGCCGCCGCGCTGATCCTGCCCGTGCCGGAGGAC